TACTTGTACGAGTTATATGTTGAATTTTTTTAAACAGTATTTATTATGGGGTTCTGTCTTGAATTTAGACTGTGATTTTTTGGAACTTTCAAAATTGTTGCTAGTGGTGTGTTAAAAGTAACAGTTACAAAAAACACATGCTTCTGTTCTTTACTAGAACAGAGACGGATAATTCCTTTCCTGATCCTAAATATTCTTACCTCAGAAGTAAAAAGTCATTTCAGATGGCTGAGTGGTGCCTTACATGAACAGATAACTCTTTACACAAGCAGTCTGATTGTGAAAGCAGTGTATTCTTGGATAAGGACACTCCAAGTGGCTTTTTATGAGCAGGGATTTCCACATTCCTACAGACATTCACATCAACTGCTGCTGGGACTTTGTGAATATCCTTGATGTTCCGTGGTTCACTTGAGTAAATGTTCATGCAGGTAGTCAACTGGAGCAGATGGAATGATAGAAAGAGCATCGATTCAACCTTAGGATTTAGTGAAATCTATGTTCTTTGGATTTCAGCATTAGCATCAGGGACAGCTGTGAGAAAATGGGAGGAGTTGCACAGGTGATTTTGGGTGTATTTGTTTCATTATTTTATACATTTGATGAGCTTTTGAACAATATAATCAGTTGTTCAAGAAACAAAATCTCTTCAATATTAGGTTTGCTTTTAACCCCTGTAAAATCATGTATGATCTCCGATCATATAGATGTTTTGGAGAGAAGGTATGTCCTTGGAGGACCCCAAGAGTGAGCTCCCATCTAGGGGAATAAAAGTACCCAAGATCAACTCACTTGGTGAGATTCCAACTACAGTTGCATGGTTCCTCCAATTCCTAACTTAGCCGGTAATTCCAGAAAGACACCATGGTTGATGATGTGTAAAGGTACTGAGGGGTCTAAGAGAACAAATTACCTTGCTACTCCTGTGATGAAGATAACCAACCAGAGTTAGCAGTGTAGTCAAACCGCCTAGGAGCCTATAATTGCCTGAGCCTGCATGACATGTTACGCCATCTTGGTTAATAATCACTGAGCACTTTAATCAGACATACTTGTACGAGTTATATGTTGAATTTTTAAAAACAGTATTTATTATGGGGTTAGACTGTGATTTTTAGGACTTTCAAAATTGTTGCTAGTGATGTGTTAAAAGTAACAGTTACAAAAAACACATGCTTCTGTTCTTTACTAGAACAGAGACGGATAATTCCTTTCCTGATCCTAAATATTCTTACCTCAGAAGTAAAAAGTCATTTCAGATGGTTGAGTGGTGCCTTACATGAACAGATAACTGTTTACACAAGCAGTCTGATTGTGAAAGCAGTGTATTCTTGGATAAGGACACTCCAAGTGGCTTTTTATGAGCAGGGATTTCCACATTCCTACAGACATTCACATCAACTGCTGCTGGGACTTTGTGAATATCCTTGATGTTCCGTGGTTCACTTGAGTAAATGTTCATGCAGGTAGTCAACTGGAGCAGATGGAATGATAGAAAGAGCATCGATTCAACCTTAGGATTTAGTGAAATCTATGTTCTTTGGATTTCAGCATTAGCATCAGGGACAGCTGTGAGAAAATGGGAGGAGTTGCACAGGTGATTTTGGGTGTATTTGTTTCATTATTTTATACATTTGATGAGCTTTTGAACAATATAATCAGTTGTTCAAGAAACAAAATCTCTTCAATATTAGGTTTGCTTTTAACCCCTGTAAAATCATGTATGATCTCCGATCATATAGATGTTTTGGAGAGAAGGTATGTCCTTGGAGGACCCCAAGAGTGAGCTCCCATCTAGGGGAATAAAAGTACCCAAGATCAACTCACTTGGTGAGATTCCAACTACAGTTGCATGGTTCCTCCAATTCCTAACTTAGCCGGTAATTCCAGAAAGACACCATGGTTGATGATGTGTAAAGGTACTGAGGGGTCTAAGAGAACAAATTACCTTGCTACTCCTGTGATGAAGATAACCAACCAGAGTTAGCAGTGTAGTCAAACCGCCTAGGAGCCTATAATTGCCTGAGCCTGCATGACATGTTACGCCATCTTGGTTAATAATCACTGAGCACTTTAATCAGACATTGTTGATTGTTTAAATGTTTTAACAGTGTTAAATGTTTTAAGTTTTAAATGTTTTGACTGTATATGAATCTTGGCACACTGTGCCAGGCAATGTGAGCCGCCCTGAGCCCGCTTGTGGGGAGGGCGGGTTATAAATACAACAAATAAATAAATAAATACTACTGCACCCTGGCCAAAAGCGGATTGAAATGGTGGAACATTATGCGTTTTGAGACAATAGTTAGTGGATATATACTTCTTGCAGTGGTGTTTGCTCAGTTTTTCATGTGAAATTCTAGAAGAATCAGGTCTTTGGGTCTTAAGTTTGTAGTCATTGGAATTCACTGGCTGACTTGAACATGCCTCATAAGGTGAGCCATGCAGGTGTTTCCTTTACACTTGCTTTTAAAGAGAGGTTAATGGACTACAGTTCAGTAACGGGGACTGTGCTGTTTGAAGCTTCACAATGACCAGGGTTCAAAACCAACAAGTGATACTTAACACCCATCATGAACCATTTAGGTTTGTAATAGTAGTATTCACTTTTGATAACCACTTTGTTGTGCACTGATTTTTTTTTTTTAGGCTATTGACTATTATCTGAAGGCCTTAAGATCGCTGGGAAAAAGAGAAGTCCATTCAGCTGTCTGGGATTCTGTCAACTGGGAACTGTCTACTACATATTTTACTATGGCAACTCTGTTGCAGGACTATGCTCCATTATCCAGGAAGGCTCAGGAACAGGTAGCCAATTTTCATTTACTGTAATCAGTTATTGTACTAGCATTTGCATGTAATAAAAAGAGTCATGTATAATTTTACTGGAAAAAGTACTGCTTAGGATGATACTGCTTCCAGAATGGCATAACAGAAGGGTTCCCAAACATCTCAGGCCACATGGCCCTATTTTCTTAACTCTTGGGAAATAATCTAGTCTCTCACTCTAGGGGTGGCAGTTTTTATCCAGCTGGTCCCCAGCATTATTTTCTCTCTAGAAGGAGGCATGTCCCCTCCCCTTCAGTTGGATTATGATCACATCAATAAGGAAGGCTTCTCTTTGACTCATAGAATTTTTAGAGCAAGAAGATGCTTTCCTTTGGTTTTTAGAAGGCTGAAGGCAGGTACTTACTGGACTTTTTGTGAAACACATTGGTGACTCATCAAAACAAATGCTTAAGGAACAGAAATCTTCCAGTTTGGGATACACTGATTTATTATAACAGTATTGTACAGTATATTATAATCAATGCATACTATCTAGGCCAGCTTGTCAGAAAGGTCTCAGAAATGGAAGGGAAAATTAAAAGGTGAATATAAGGAGAAACAGGACACCGGTTTAATGATTTCAAAATTGCATGGATGAAGCTACATATAGATATCCATTTCTTTTTACTGATAATTGGAATTGGAGAAATGCAATAGAAGTAATGTAGAAGTGGTATTACGTGCCCCAAACTTGCTCCAGTGATGCCAATAACTTCCAAAATTTGCTGGGGATGCAAGAAGCATGTTGGTTCACTTATTCGTGCTCTGTGACAGTGCTTAAAAATCCAAATATTTTGGCAAGAAACTTGTAAAGCTGCAGGATAACTTGTTAGTAGCAACATTCCAAGCAGCCCTGGAGTAATTCTTCTGGGATAGTCTAAAAATAAAATTAAAAATATGAATCTCATAAGAAATCTTTTAACAGCAGCAGAAATATTAGTAGCACAATTCTGGAATCAAAAGAAGCTACCCAATATGGAGGTTTTGCATAATATGGTTTCTTGTATATATGGGGAAAATCACAGCTTTCATTTTGGGATCTCTGTAATATCTATTTATTTAAATGTCACCAAAGGCCTGATTGAAGCCTTTTGTTTAGTTTGCTGCTCATGCGTAAATACTGTCCGGGTACTTTATGAAAATGGGAACTTCATGGGGACAAGTACGATATAATTACTTGTGTTTCCATTATTCAGCTAGGCCTACATTGGCTTTCTGACTTTTAGGGATGCCAGCCTCCAGGTGGGAACCTGGGGATCGCCTAGAATTACAGCTCATTTCCAGATTACAGAGATCAGTTCCCTTGGAGATAATGGATGATTTGGTGGGTGGGCTCTATGGCATTGTACCCCACTGAGGTCCCTGGCCTCCCCAGACTCCATCCCTGAATCTCCAGGAGCTTCTCAACCTGGATCTGGCCACCCTACCCCCCATCCCCCAATGGTGGCCAGAGGGGGAACTGGCAGCCCTATTTTAGTTGCCCTCTTCCAGGTTTGATGAACTTGACTGCAAAAGTAAGGACATTATTTCTGAAATGAACAGGTTTTGTTATTATAATTTTGAAAGGTTGTTCTTGGCGTATTGTGTTTTAGATAGAAAAAGAAGTTAGTGAGGCAATGATGAAATCTTTGAAATACTGTGATGTTGATACCGCCTCTGCCCGACAACCCCTTTGCCAGTACCGGGCAGCTACCATTCACCACAGGCTGGCTTCCATGTATCACAGCTGTTTGAGAAACCAGGTATGTGCCTAGAGAGACTGTTTCAACAGAATCTGTCACTGTGGCATCACAAGCTCCACTGTCACTCTCCATAGCAGCATTTGCATTACTTGATACTGCACCACTCTGATATGGATTACAATATCCCTTCCATGATGTGAGCATTAGGGCTTTCAACCTCTGGGTGGGGCCTGGAAATCTCTCAGAATTAATACTGATCTCCGGACAACAGAGATCAGTTCCTCTGGAGGAAGTGTCTACTTTGGAGATTGGACTCAATGGCATTATATCCTGATTAGGTCCCTCCCTTTCCCAAACCCTGCCCTCCCCAGGATCTACCCCAAATCTCCGGGAATTTCCCAGCCACATGATGCCCGGCTAGACTGCTTGTTGGTATTAAAATCAAAAGCAGCACCATGGTACAAACTAATCAAATCGGACCATTCTAGAACCCCACATTTAGTTAACATCTCCAAACACGTACTTAGAGCGTCCTTTACTTCCCTATGGTTTCAATCAATGCCAATGGCAAGCTTGGAGGGCAGTTTTAATCAAACTCCATTGGCCCATCGTCGATGTACTTGTGGCACCCATGTACTTGAGGACTTACCTCACTATATCCTCTTTTGCCCAGTGTACCCCAGTTCGAGGGTTAAATTTTTAGCAGATATTTTATCTGGTTTTAGTGTATACCCAGTGTATACACATTTTTGTTATCTGACCCTGATGCATATGTTTCTTACAAAGAAACATGCTGCAAAGAGTAAGCATTCCAAGGTGGCAACGGGAAGGGTTATTACCTAGTTTATTGTATTAAATTAGTCACATTTTGCTATTGACTTTCAATACTTCTGTATATTCTGATATTAACCTATAGCTTGTTCATAATTTGTATTTGTATTGCTGAGAGTTTTGTAACCTTGTAATGGCCAATGGCTAATTACAATAAATTGAGCCTATTATTATTTATTATTTATTTATTTAAGGCATTTTTACCCCGCCCTCCCCACAAGCGGGCTCAGGGCGGCTTACAGGGGGCACAAGCCCAGCATAAAACCCTATAAAACAGCAAAATCACAATTGTAATAATAGCAATAACAATAAAGAACAATAAGCCCAATCATATGTTGGCAGCCCTAGCAAGAAGGAGATATAAATTTTTTAGCTTAGGTTCTTGATTGGCTCTGCAGATTAAGTCAAGTTATGGCATCCCTTGATGTTTTTATGTGGATTGCTACTTGTATAAAACGTACATGTACACTCACCATTCCTAAGCATAATTACCTGGAAAACATTGTCAACATTGAAACCGCCATGCTTGCCTAATACTATATTGGTAGAGGCATCTGAAAATCGTTAACCTTACGAAATAATGTTTCGAAATGAAAAATGAAAAAGAAAAATAAAGCACCAGAAAATTCTCTGTCCCAAGTCTCTGGAGGGTACCCTTCTGCATTTTTAATCTCCCTTTTCTATGTAGCAGTTTTGGTTTTTATAGAGCTGCAGGACAATAGGGGAAGGCACAGTTTTCAAATGATGTTTTGAAGACTCAAGCAAGGGTACCCAAAATAAGGGTAATGCAGGGGAAGGTAGTAGTCTTTTTTTCTTTAAACAACGTTGTCTTAGTGTTAGATAAGCACTGTAGCTAATAGTATATTGAAAGTGTACAGAGCCAGAGAGAATGCTAGAATGGTTTGCAAAATGGCAGAGTTGTGGAATGAGTGTGGGGATTCTTGCTTGTGCTGAGTGAAGTCCCACTCGGCATGGAGCAGGGGCCAGTGTTGCTTTCAAAACTGACAGTTGTAATAGTGGAATGAGTGTGGGGATTCTTGCTTGTAATAGCCAGGGATGTACAAGAAATGTGTCATTTTCTAATGAGAGAATACTGCCGTTTCAGTATTAGTACACTGTGATATCCCAGTAACAGAGGTGTCTGTCTTAAAGGATAATCTGGGCCCTGAGCAATAGAGTGAATGAAAACTGTGGCTTGGATCCAAAAGCCACAAAGGGAGTTTGCAGAAGTGATCACTGCTAATCTTTCCTTCCTGCTGCACTGTGCCCTGGTCCCTCCAAGTCACTCCTGAGACTTGGGGAGTGTGTGGCCCAGTGGGACAGAAAAATCAGTAGAGTCTCCTTCCTCCCTTGCATAAAACCTTGCTGCCTTTGCACAAGTCCCTGGAGGAAGGGTTTGATGGCCATCAGTCCCACCCTTTCACTGCAGATCACTTGCACTTCAGTCCAAGAGTCCTCCTCACCTGAAGGAACAGTTTACTGAGGAGCACAGGGAGCTGTACTGGGCTTTGAGGAAGACCTCTTCCGTTAATGCCCTGTTGTTTGTATCCAAGCTTGTGTTTATTGCATGATTAAAGTGATTGTCTGAAAATGCTGTAGGGGGAGAGTTTTTCCTTGAGCTTTGAATTTGGATTTTAAAAAAATGTAATTGCATGGCACTCTGGCAGGATGATGGGACTACTCCAGTAGGCGCTTGCACATATTTAATAGCAATCTGTTAAAGAATTTGCTTTCTAAACAGCCATAAAGAAAGTCCCGTGCCATATGCTTTCGTCTGAGCACATTTTTCTATAAAAATTTAAGCAGCTCAATCAGCAAGCATAGGGAAAAGTGGGGTTATGCTTTTCTTTCTTGTGAATGAACTTCAAAACAAAAAAAATGGATTTTTTTTCCCCTTAAAGGTTGGTGATGAGCATCAACGGAAACAACACAGAGTACTAGTGGATCTTCATTATGGTAAAGCTGTGAAGTTTTTCCAGCTCCTGAAGGATGCACCATGTGAGCTGTTGCGTGTACAGTTGGAAAGAGTCGCATTTGCAGAGTTTCAAATGGCAAGTAAGTGGGACAGTGGCTATGTTAGAAATAACTATTACTAAGGTTCTTTGTGGGGGAAAAGAAGCAAATGCTGATCACTGGTTGCCTGGGATACATTGAAATTTGCTGTTGCTTTGGTGAAAGCTTTCATCTATTTTGTGTGTTAAAAGAAAATTCCAGTTATTAAATTCTTGACGTATTCTTGGACAGAGCTATTAAGTATGAAGTGTTTAACACTCATGTCTTTCTGATCCTAAATTTAGGTCAGAATAGTAGTGGTGGAAAGTTGAAGACTTTGTATGGTGCCTTGGATATAATGACACAGAGCCACTCTGTTTTCCATCTCATGAGAAAAGAACTGGTTGGTGAATGTGAGCAGGTAATTAGAAAGTGTGATCTTGTGATCTGTCATTCTGCAGTGTTGCACGGTTGCTTACATCTGGCTACAGTCTGTTCAGAAAGAAAAGTGATATTTGTATACTTGACAACTCTTTTATAGCAGCTTGTTTTGTTTTATGAAATTGCACCTTTTTCTGAAATCTATGTGAACTTGCATATGTTCACATATATCTTAATTTGTGGTAATTATCTAGATTTAGTAACCATTTTCACAAATGTCCTCTGTTTCCAGGGCCTCGAAGATGGCAAAAGCAGTGCTGAGAAAGTACCAACTGAAAATTCTTCTGTTAGCCTTAATGAGGAGGAAATATCAAAGCTCCTTAGTATATTTGAGTCTCGATTGTCCTTTCTCCTCCTCCAGTCCATTAAGCTGCTTACGTCAACAAAAAAGAAAACAGGGTAAGTGTCAGCTCACAGTGCAATCTTTTTTGTGGCATGAATATCTCACATAAGTGCTTGCGTATCAGTGGGTTTCTCTTTATAGATACCCTTTCATTTTGTTGCCCAGTCTCCTTGATATATAGATTTGGATTGCTTCTTTGTATGCATTTAAAATCCAGAAGTGTACTATACATTATTCATTTAAATTATTATGAATACATTTTCCCTTTTATGCATTTCATCCTAAGCATACATATACATTCCACAAAGAATATATGACCACCACCAAAATCCAATTATCATTTATGATCTTGAAATTAATATCGAAGTCACTACCTTACAAAACTACAGCAAAGTTGTACAATTAAGCAAATTGACAGTCAACTGCAGCTCTTTCTTCCGAAACTCATAAAAAGGTCTTTTTAGTTTGTTTGTTACCATGATTATTGGCATATTGGTTCAGGTATTGTTGAGAGAATGAAGGAAAACATCTGTATATATGCATGGACGTGCAGACTACAATATCAGAGGTGATATGGAGCAGCATTCAGATTAAGATTGAGGTTGCTACAAGAAAGGTGTCAGATGTATGTCATTGTGTGCAAGCAGGCTCTGTTCATCTGTACTTTTTGCCAACTACTTGTAGAGGAAGGTAGGAATAAGGTATAGGATTTTTGTGAGTGCTATTCTTTGTTAGAGCTGGAATACTGGACCCAGAGTAATACACCTGGTACATCCTTCAGCTTTTGGATTTTGTTAGGATAGTGCATTTCAGTGGAAGAGCCAAAAGAACTGCTGGGCTTTGGCTTCCATGTTAGAAAATTTGAGGAAAAAAAGAAGAGCAACTCAGTATGCCAGTTATGTACAATGCAAGGAGAATAGTCACCCTCCGACTTCTTTGAACGCCTGTTCTGATGGCATGTTTGGCAAAGTTGAGCAACTGTTACCGTGTGTGTGTGTGGGGGGGGGGGGGATACAGGATGGAATAGCAGCAGAGGTTGCAATGCTTCCAGTTTTGCCTTTAGTTGTTGAACTAGATTTTTAATTCTCCACAAGGTGGCAATACAAATACAGAAGACCAAAATGTAGTTCCTTTCTCAGACTAACTCATTTCTTTCTAATCCCATTAGCAACTGTAAAGAGTGCTGTAGTAGTGTATAATACAGGCTTAGAGAAGCTGATAACTGCATGCCAGAATATTTACTTACACTTCTTATTCTTCTCTTTTAGTCACTACTAATTGTCTTTAAAGACTCTACATGTACATTGCAGCCTAATTATATTCTAAACTTTTCTGAGCTTTGCAATATGAAAGCATAAAGCTGTTGTAAGCACTTAATTGTAGCTGGCGCTATAGCAGGATCATATGATATCTGTTGTGGCTCATTCAGGTAAATCGACTGCAGCATGTATGAATTGACCATAGGTTGCAGATAACTTTGTTAAAAGAGGTTTGAGCACAGTAGGACAAGGGACTTGGAAAAGCAGAGAGAGAACATGAAAGCTATAGAGAAGACAGTACTTGGCACACCGAAAATGTAATTCAGTTTGCAAAGCTGACTTCAAGCTTTCCTGGGAGCTCCCCTGATGCCATTGCTTGACCATCCTGTACAGAAAGGTCAAAGATGCAGAGATATCTAACAAGGCCTGACAGACACTGAATTATGTTTTCACCACTGCTACTAAAGGATTAGGCTGCACAGAAGGCTTCATGGATTGTAACTAGGGATGGGCACAGACTGGCTCACGAGCCAAAATTTGGCCTGAATTTGGGCAGGTTTGGAGTTTGTGAACCTATGTTTGGGGACTTCTGGCCAGTTTGGCTGTTCAGGGCCAGCCATTTAACCCTTTGGTTTTGCTCCCCCCTGTTTGAAGGTTCTCTCCCCCCCCCTTTGAAGTGGCGGGGAGCAAAAAGTCCCTTCCTGGGCAATTCCCCCCCCCCCCGACCCTGGCAAGCTGTGGCTGGGAGAAAGGGTGAACTGAAGTTGCTGAACCAGTTCAGGTGGGTCCCATTTGGGGTTCGGTTTGTGGGCCAAACTGAACCACCCTTTTTAGGTTTGTGCCCATTCCTAATTTTAACTGAGAACCCTGCAGAAAGGAGCAGCCTTATGGAAATAAGTTTGTTACATGACTTTCTCTCATCTCAGATTTAAATAGGGTACTTAGCTAAGAATGTATTCTGATAGCCAGTATTAGTTATTATAATGTGCATCCCCCTCAGTAGAACAGCAGTGAATAAAGCACAGAACTTAAAATGAACAAAATAGTATTTCTCTGCTGCTGTTTATTACTTTGGTTGTAAAACCAGTAAGACGTAAGCTATATGAAACACCAAGTGGAATCTGGCTACAAAAAACATAAAATGCCTACTCCTAGATGTTCTTATTTAAATTTATTGGAGCATCTTAATTGACAAATTGGTTTGGGTAATTAAACTGTCAGTTCCCTTTGCCAAATGTTAAGCATTTTATTGCAGCTTGCTTTCTTGGAATATTTGCAATTAAAAAAAAAACACCCTGCCAACTGATCTGTGTATGACTGTGTACATGTGACGGATTGCACAGAAAAGCAGGTTTTAAAATGCTGCTTGGGACAGAGAGGGAAGTTATGAGTTAATCTTCCCTGGAGAGAAGAGCTTAAGTGATTGGCTGCTCTACTCATCCTGTGATTGGCCAGCATCAGCTTAGAGAGGAAATAAAACAGTTGATCCGGAGGGAAACGGAAGATTTTGTTCACTTAACCATGAAGCTTCCTTCTTGGTGGTCCCGGAGTGGGCCATTCCTTAAGCCATTACACATGGGGTTAGCTCCTCCCCTCCACTTGCAGGGCCGGTAAAACTTTGATCCTGGAGGGGAGGGGCTTGTCCTCTGTATCCCCAGTCATTCACCAAGCCGACCATCCCCAACGACCTGTATCAAAAAACTGGATCAAATGAAACCACCTGCCACCCAACCAGTAACTGATCCAACCATTAGGTTTCCAACCAACAGCAAACTTTATTTGAACAACAGCCATAACATACAAACTTACTTCTGAGATGCATAACTTTCAAGTTACAAACGTCCCTCAGTACCGGAAGACGTTCCTTCCAACAGGACGGGTAGGAATGACCCACTCCAGGACCACCGAGAAGGAAGCTTCACAGTAAGTGAACAAAATCTTCCGTTCTCCGGTGGTCCCGGTAGTGGGAGCCCCGGGAAATGAACTCCGGCCGGTGAAAGCTTCCGACGACACAATGCAAGGAAATACTTCCTCCCCCCCTCTCTCTTCCGACCAACCCGGCGGCGACTCACCTGAATGCCTCTGCACTCGCACACAACATAAAAGAGCAGTACAAGACAGGGTGGGCCCAACGACTTCCAGTCTTTACAGGGCATGCTGCAGCACCAAAGGCCGCCTCAGCCGAGGCCAACTTATCAATGCGATAATGTTTCGTAAAAGAGTGAACGGACCTCCATGTCGCTGCTTTGCAAATAACTTCTAAAGAAGGAAACGCTCGATAACATG